GAGTAATATAGACCACAGATTAAATCCAACCAATGCAATAGTTGGATTTAATTTTGTGGTCAATTACCTATACCAGTGTTATCACTCTCTTGACCATATTACAATATTTGAATTTTGAATTCAAATGAATTGGCTCTATAATTACAAGACCTCTTCATTCTCTCATACTTGAACTTGGCATAATATTTGAGAGAGAGCATAGAGAGGTAACCAAGTGGGAGCTTTCCATAACTCCGACGAAATTCTTGGTAGCTTCCGGCGGATCTTTTCTCGGTATATCCATTGCCATTTTCGTGGACGACGGTGCATGATCCGGTGTGGCACAAATCTGAGCTCAACATCAAGAACACTTCATTGGTGGTGTTGAAGAAGCTTTGAGTCGTTTTTTTGTTCGATTTTACAATTTGAGAGTTTATTATTCCGCATTATAGTTGTAATAATCTTTTATATACTACACTTTAAACTCTACAGTAATCACTGGGAGTTATAACTGGAAAAGTCTATATGAGTTTTGAAGTCACAATTACGAGCTCTACAAGACAAACGGTCAAAATCACACTGTTTCGTGGAAATATTTCTTTCATATTTGGATCTCTACATAACTACTCAACAGTAAGTGGATCTATTTAATAGCGTGGAAGGAAAATAACAAATTTCATACCTAGAGATTTTTGCTCAAAAAGTTAGAGATCAAACCCAAATACGAAGTCTAATTTCTCAAGCTTCACAAATTTCTTCATTACAACGATGAAATACCGACACAATTTCCCTTGTCATCATGATTGTTGTAATCCATGGTTTCTTACATTTTAATTTAAAAAATAACAAATTATCTATCAATTTAAACATAAGCTATAATCAAAACAGAACTTTCGGTTGAATTTTATGGCTTGAATCTTTCATTTCATCCTAAATAAATTTTCAACTTAATCTTGAATATATGGCCAATTTGCAATAACTGAAATATCAAGTTCAAAAGAGCAACCGGTAATTGTAAGAAATGAAAATAACTGAAAAAGGTATTTATTGCATCAGCCTCAAATATATGAGTTTATGTATGTTTAATTATTCAAGCTCTAATACCTAAAAAAACATAAATGCTTGTGTAAAGAAATTTAAATAATTGAAAAGTTAAAAAGATTCAGCATTAACTTTTGATGGGAAACCAAATAAGTTAAATTTTATATGATGAATCCAAGGCTAAATTGAAAATTGCCAGTGTTAACAGGTATCATATTTATCGAAGATTTCAAGAGTTTGTCCTCATGAGTAATGCAAGAATGTCAAACTAACAAGTTTCCTTATATGAGTAATGCACTAAAGTTTTAAAGTAAATCAGGAACATAGTAGATATGGATATAATTTTGAATCAAATGCAAATCTGGAATATTACAATATACGCAATGTCGAAAAATATTTTTTGCATTTCCCCACTTTTAGGAATTTTTAAATTAGTTATATGTACTTAGAAATTCAGGATCATATAGGATGGACCTCCAATTTGACTACATAAAATGTTCTCCTCCTTATAATTCAAAACTCTAATCCTCAATTGGAAAGTATAAATAAAGAGGTATTTTGTTAAAATCTAAAAAAAAAAAAAATGAAGAAAAAGAAGAAGAAAGAAACAACTCGAAGATTCATCAAAAAAAAAAGAAAATACAAAGCAACATACCTGAGGTCACCAAACTACAAGATCGTTCGAGATTTTACCGTATTTTGGGAGTGATTTGTTAAAACCTAGCAAACATATAAAATATAAAATCAAGATTCAACAACAAAATATGTGGCAGAAGAATAAATTGAAGGTTTAAAGATTGGATATAAGGTAGTCGTCTCAATTATGCGTCAATTTGTTGGATATTTTTGGAACGATCGGTAGAGGGAGATAAAAAAAAAAAATTATAGAATTCTGAACAAGGAAACATAATAGCTATTTTACAAACTAAGTGCCTAGAGGTGACAGTCTGAATGTTACAACCTTCCAATGAATACATAGTGATAGCAATTTACCCCAACCCGGTGTCGTCTCGCCCCGAATGGGGCAAAAACAACTCGCCCCGTCGCGGGGCGGGTCGGAGCATAAATGGTTGCCCCGTCGAGGGGCGCGCCGCCCAGCCCCGAACACGCCCCGTGAATTTTTTTTTTTTTATTATTATTAAAGTTAGGGTTCAACTTGTTTCAAATAGAAAGATGTAACATATTTTCTAGTATTCTCAATTGTACAAGTCTTATCAAACTTGACTAATTTATATATACTATTATACTACTTTATCAAATTGATATTATATTGATAAAAATAAATATAAAAAGATATAACATGTGCAACTGAACAAATTTAAAAATCTATATATTATAATAAAATAAAGTGTGTAGGGTTACAACTTTTGTGACAATATCAAAAGAAAAAATACAAACAATCTTGTTCATTCTAATAATCAATGTTGTGTACCAATAGCGACCATTATATTTAAAATTTGTAGTGTTTATTTTGGATATTAACTTTGTCAGCTTGAATTTTATATGTATTTTATTGAATTCGGAATTAAAAAAAAAATTAAACAGGGTAAGAAAACTGCCCCGACCCGCCCGCTAGACGGGGCGGGGCGTGGGGTGGGAGAAATGGGGCCCGCCCGTCCCGAACCCACCCCGTTGCCATCACTATGAATACGAAAGTAATCATAAGACATTGAAAAAATTTGAAAATATATAAAAGAAGAAGAAGAAATGAATAAAAAAATTACCTTTCTTTCTATGGAGGGACATTCAAAACCTTTTTATTCACCTCTCTCTTACTGCAATGAGGAAATAACACAAATAAGGCAAAATTTCTGAATTAGATTGCCTAGTCTCCACACAAACAAAATTTAATTGTAAATTATACAATGCAGAGACAAAGTTTCAGAATTAGTAAATATATGCAGAGATATTGTAAAATTATTTTGAGCAAAATAAATGACAAATTTAAAATATTTTAAACAATTTTGCAATCAATACTTTGATATGCTTATATATATATATATATAATTTAAAGCGAGAGCTATCGAAAGGATGGATACGAATTTCAACAATAAGTTGTCACCCCCCTTGAAATTAAATTCTCTTTATTTAACACTGAACTTAATCCCAACATCAACAAAGTTGTCCAACAAATAAACCTCGACAGCATGCAAAAGCCAAAGCAAACATGATTTAATTTTTACCGCACAAGTAAAGGTAAATCTTCTTTTTCTCATTCTCTGTCCATCGTCATTCATCATCTAGGAAACAAAAATGAATCAGAATAAGTAAAAAAAAAATATATATATTCTAACCCATTAATAAGTTATCTAAAGTAAACAAAAAATAAAAATAAAAAAAAGAAACGAAAATTACGTTGTTTTGAAATAGAACCTCAATTTGACGTTTCCACCCTCCATCATCATGCTCCTGATTATCAGCTCGATGCAGCTGATTATGCATCATTTGTGTTCCATATTTCAACACCCCTCGCGCAAAATGGAGAGTAGATGTTAACAACTCCTATCTTGTTCAAGTGATGATAAAACTGACAAGAGTTTAGTGATTTTGTTAAAATGTCAGCAACCTGAAATCTGCTACTAAGATGTTTAGCTATTATGCTTCCTTCTTGAATTTTGTCCCGTATCAAATGGCAATCCAACTCGATGTATTTAGTTCTTTCATGGAAGATTGGGTTGGCCGCTATGTGGAGAGCAGATTTGTTGTCACAGAAGAGGTTAGCAGCCTGTGGGTGTTTGATTCTTAAGTCTTGAAACAAGTACCTAAGCCAAGTGAGTTTACAGCATACATTTGCCATTGCCCTGTATTCTGCTTCTGCTGGAGACCTGGATACTATGCTTTGTTTTTTTGATTTCCAAGATATCAAGAATCTTCCAAGCATCATGCAATATCCTGTTACACTCCTTCGTCTGTCTGGACAAGCTCCCCAGTCTGAATTGCTATAAGCATTAAGCTGTAAATCTGAATCAATAGGAAATAGCAATCCTGGAGCTCCTTTAATGTACCTCAACACTTTATTAGCAGCACTCAGACGGGAAGTGCCAGGGGAACTCGTGAATTGGCTTAATAATTGTACTGAGTATGAAAGATTTGGTCTACTAATGATTAAGTACAACAGTCTCCTAAAAAGTCTTCCATACATAGTGGGATTAGGGAAAGGATCTCCATCCGTCTTTGAAATTCTCACATTCTGATCCAACAGTCTTCCAACAAGTCTTCTATACATAGTATGTCCAAAGCATACTTTCGTTGGCAAATATGAATTCCTTTACCAGACCTTGCCACTTCTATTCCCAAAAAATATTTCAATGTCCCCAAATCTTTGATCTTGAATCCCCTATCAAGTAGGGCTTTGAGAGAGCTAATGTTGTTTACATCACTACTGGCCACAATTATGTCATCTACACAGACGAGAATGGCAGTGAAAGAACTCTCAGTGGACTTTGTAAATAGACTGTAGTCAGCTTTAGATTGTGTTAATCCTTGTTCAATAACGAAGGTTGAAAGCTTGGAGTACCATTGTCGGGATGCTTGTTTGAGCCCATACAAGCTCTTCAACAACCTGCACACTTTTGAATTCCCTCAATCAGAATGGCCAGGAGGCATCTTCATGTACACTTCTTCATCCAGATCCCTATGTGGAAAGGCATTATTTACATCAAATTGATATAAATGCCATCCTCTCACAGTCGCAATAGCTAGTAAGGTTCTAACTGTCACCATCTTTGCTACAGGTGAAAATGTCTAATGATAGTCCAACCCCTCCTGCTATGTATATCATTTTGCCACAAGCCTTGCTTTGTACCTTTCAACACCACCATCAGCTTTATAATTTACCTCTTGTGTTCTCTCAACTTCCGTAATTCAAGCTCAATATGGAGATATCTAACCTGGATGCTTAATTGTGATCTTTACAGGAGTTTTGGGCTGCAGGTTCCATCCAAGGCAATCATGGCTATTTACTGCAGGCGCTGATTCCGTTATCGGGCTCTATTGTCATTAAGAATGGTCATACTGGAAGGCAACAGTATATTTTCGGTTCCATTCGAATCCCAACTGACTTCAGGGTCTTTTCTAGAGAATGATGCCTGAGAAAAGTTATTTTGGTCCATATGTGAGCCTTAACTAATACGAGGTTCATAGTTCTATTTATTTACTGAATCCGAAACATAATCTTTAATGTTATTTTGGTCTATTGTGATTTCTACTTATGACTATAGACGTTTTTTAGTAGCAACACTTTATTTTATTCAAAATTGATATTTTATATTGGATATG